AGTTGAAGTCCACATATCTTAAAGTTGCCAAGGTTGAGAAACACTGCATTAGAGTGTATGTCCCATAACAGTCTCTTGGGAACTGCAAGTTTCCATATCAGAGTAGCTTTTCTTATCCAATTAAATTGAATTCCATTCGGTTTAATGGATTTTGCAAAACAGCCCCTCATTGAGGCCAATAGCAAAAACACACTTATCACGTAGTTTGCCCTTCTACAGTTCTGCAGATTGAAAGATCTTCCTCCCTGCTATTGCATTGAGAGATTCAGCCGGGATAAAGCAGGAATGAAAAGATAACAGTGCCTTCTCTGCTCCTCCCCAAAAAGCAGAGTCTCAACCTGAATTGGACCCTCCACATCCAGACATAGGTTGAGTTCACACAACACACTAAACCCTAAGTCTGGGTTAACAATGCCTTGTTTCCACCTCATTTTAACAAGCTAATTGCAGAGAGGGGGTGTCTGTGATTCACAGCTGTCTGTTAAATATGAAGGTACACCATCACAGCAATTTAATTCATTTGTCTACTGATGACATTACACAAAGGGCACACCTTTTGCATCAACGTACGTGAGGGGTGTCAATTGTCACAGAAATACTATCTATTGCAAATCAATATTTTGCAATATAGGTAGTCCCCAGGTTACAAATGCCCAAGTTACAGACAGCCTATAGTTAAGAACAGAACCTATGGTAGCAAAACAGGTTAAATATCCAATGATTCAAGTTAAATACACAATAGTTCGAGTTCATTGCACAATACCACTTATACGGTATTATATAATAATACTGTTCTGGCATACACACAAATTCAACTTAAGGACAGACCTTGGGAACTGAACTTGTTCTTAAACTGGGGACTACCTGTAATAGGCTCTGCCCCAATAAACCATGGTTTAACATGATGGTCTGATTGATGCAACCCGCTTAGACAATGCCTGCGTTCCTATACTAAAATGAACCACACATTACTCAACTCTGCTTTCTCAAGTCTACCCAGTATGGTAGTACAAAACACCCCTATGTTAGCTATTTGTTGCACTACTGACAGATTGGTACAAACAGCCTGAACATGCCAATACCTGTCTTCCAGCTTTCCATCAGGACTTTTGGAGACATTCACAGGGCTGGAGAGTGCAGTTTCAGCTTTCCAGCCAGAGACAGCAATGTCTTTGTCATTCTCTTTCTTCCCTTTCTGGGTCCCTGATGACTCTAAAAGAAAAATGGGGCATTCAGGTAGAATCGTAGCTGACTAAATGGTGCAAGTGACATATTCACCCAGTCCTTGGTATTCTCACTGTGAAAAGTGACATATTCACCCAGCCCTTGGTATTCTCGCTTCTGCTGGATTTGTGAGCATTAAAAGCTTTAAAGCAAATTTTTTGTCCTCAAGAAAAGAGAAAGGAGATTGCAGTAAGAAGGAGAAGAAATCTGGATCCCCAATGCTAATGCCCCCCACCAAGTTATGCCATTAAAAACTGTTCTCTTTGTCAAGGAAAAAAAGGAATTAAGGGCAGATGTCGCTTATTTCTAAATCCCTTCTTCTATACAACTATTAAATTTATTCCTAATTTGTATCATTTTTGCCTTACACACTCATGGTTAAAAATAATAAACCCAGAGCAGGCAGGTATGCAATTCAAGTTGCAGTAAGATTAAATTTTAAAAATAAGTTACAATATTTTTTTAAATTACCGTAGATAGATCATCTTTAATAATAGGTTACAGACAGTTTAAAAACTCCCTGATACAGGGCCACCAAGGCAAACCAGAGGAAATGGGGCAGATTAAAACAACTTGCCCAGATCAACTAAGCTGGAAAGGGATTCTGTAACCAGGGTGCCAATTCACCATCTCCTTCACACCTACGAATTCCCCAGTTCTGCAAAGACCAGTTGGCACGGCTGAACACCCACAATAAGAACTGCTAGATTCTTACCTAACAGCCTCTTCCAGTTCTTGATAAGGAGTTTAGCCAATGTCACCACTTCCTTGTCCGAGCAGTGCTTACGCACCGTGTTGACAGCCACACCAATTTTTGTGGTCTGAAACAAAAAGAAGCGGGATTAGCATTACTGGAACAAATGCTTTGTGGGGAGAAAGATCTCAGGATCCCCATTTCCAAATAAAAACAAGAGATGTCGAAGAGGATGGGGAAAGACCTTTCTCTGCTCAGGACACCGCATTTCCTTAATTCCTCCCCACCACCACCACCACCGAAAATGATGGGATATCATGTACCCAATTTATTTGCTTGCTAGTTTGATCCTTTTGTAAGCCCCCTCAATCGCCAAAGGGACACTAGGTGACAAACAATACATTAGAAAGATCCACGTGTGTCTGTGGGGAGGAGCGGGTTGTCAAAATCTGCACAGTTGGGTGTGACTGTTATGAAAAGGGACGGGGTTTCATTTGCAACACTGCTCTCGACATCTTGCAGATTCTAGTGCTCTCTTGCAAGTAGCCCTGATTGAAACCAAGCAAAAAGAAAACAATAAACCGGTTAAGAAAACCAGTATTAAACCACATTGGGGAGTAGGGGGAGAACACCATACATACCAAGGGCCAGCCAAGGTTTTAAAACTTTGGGAGCAATTTGCTGCCAAATTTGGGAGATGTGATCTTCAAGGATAGAATGGGCATAAAATGAGCGTTAAAATTCTCTTCAGGTTCCCTAACCATGCATCAGATCAGAACTGAGGGGTGGGTGGCTTCAAATGCTGGCTCAGCGATGAAGCTCACTGGAGACTTTGGGTCATTTCTTCCCTCTCTCTCAGCCTCCCTCGCAGGGTTGTTGCGAAGATGAAAGGGAGACTAGGAATGAGGAAATCCATCTGAGCTGCCTCTGCAGTTCCTGGAGAAAAGCTGAAATTAACCTAATAAAAGCCAATGAGAGCCTTTTACAAAAGATGCCTGTCTTCCGTGCTGGTTCTGCTCCCAGTAATTTGTACTATCCTTACAGTGACCATATTTTCTTGGAAAAAAAATAAAGGACAAACCTGAAAAAGGGGCCAATCTGAAAGAGATTCATAAAAATTTTAAAAATGGTTTATATTTGTAGCTGTTCCGTAGAATAGAAAGAATAGAATGAGGGCAATTGGAGCTTGCTGCAGTTGGCATCCTAGGGGGATGATTAAGGCTAAGGGGATGATTAAGGTACAGATTTTTGTTTGATCATTTTACTGTTTTATGCTTTTATGGTTGTTTTATGGTTGCTGGTTTTACTGCTGTTGTGGGTGGCCATATAAACCTTTTAAACAGACAAACAAACAAATAAATAACTTTGCTTTACCGAGGAAAATTCAAGAGCAAAACCAAGAAAATAATTAAATTAAATAAATCAAAGGGACAGGTTTCTAGAATAAAGGACTATCCTTTATAATAAAAATGCAACAAACAAACAAATAAATAACTTTGCTTTACCGAGGAAAATTCAAGAGCAAAACCAAGAAAATAATTAAATTAAATAAATCAAAGGGACAGGTTTCTAGAATAAAGGACTATCCTTTATAATAAAAATGCAACAAACAAACAAATAAATAACTTTGCTTTACCGAGGAAAATTCAAGAGCAAAACCAAGAAAATAATTAAATTAAATAAATCAAAGGGACAGGTTTCTAGAATAAAGGACTATCCTTTATAATAAAAATGCATGGTCATTGTAGCTATCCTGCATACCACTCCGGGCCCTTTTAATTTGCCCTCCTGTGCCTGACATCTCCTGTTAATGGCTGCAACCATGAACTTCACAACCACTTACATCGGAAACCCCTCTGGTGCTTAGTCAAGCCTGAACGCAACTACAACCTGATCCAAAGAGGTCCCTGTAGCCACCCTGGAATTCTCCAGGAGACGATGTGATTGCCAAACAGCAGCTGAGAATTGCAACATTTTACTTCCCCATTCCTTACAATCAGCCTTCTATTTCATCATGCCTCATAATTCCCAGCAACTAGCCCTGATCTTGAATAGAATGGATTTTCATTTGCATTGCAACGGTACGTGAGTTGGTTCCTCAGCTTTTCCTTGCTTTGAAACAATACTCTTACAGGTAGTCCTCACTTAGCAACCGTTTGAAGTTATGAGGGTGCTGGATGAGTGGGACTTACGACAGGTCCTTGGAGTTGCGGCTGTTGAAGTGTCCCTGCAGTCAAGTAACCACGATCTGGGTGCTTGGCAACTGGCCTGCATTTATGACAGTTGCAGCATCCTGGGGTCACATGGTCGCCATTTGCAACCTTCCCAGCCTGCTTCCCAGAAGCAATGTCAACGGGGAAGGTGGCAAGAAGTTGCAAGTCACAGTCACATGATATCGTGCTTAACGACCATGCAGGATTCACTTAACAATGGCAACCAGAAGTGCCGGAATTGCTGTCACTAAGCAGCACAGTAATGTGACGTCACACTTTACAACTGCATCGCTTAGTGACAGAGTGGCTGGTCCCAATTACCATTGCTAGGCCGTATTTAGACCTGTAACACTGGAATGCTTGGAGTTAAGTGGGTTCACATCTACATTTCCCAGGAGAACAGAAGCACCAGCCTTACCTGCAGCAGCTGAATGGTCATGGCGCAGCTATTCAATTTCTTCAGCAGGTCAAGGGCTCCTTCCTAAGAGAGGGGAGTGGGCAGAAAGAGCACAGGAGGCATCATATAGACTTAATTTTCTGTCTTTCTCTCTTTTT